GCAGAGGCTGCGGCATGGGCGGGGCCTGCCGTGCGTCACAGCCTCACCTCGAGGCAGGATCCTCCCGTCCCTGGGTGCATCGGTGCCCGCGGAGACGGCCGGGCGCACTCTGGCCCGGTGGAGCCGGCTGAGCGGCCCAGCCTGGTGCGTCTGTGGAAGTGTCCTGAGCCAGAGACTTGCACGGCGGGCCGTCCCCGCTGTGGCTGCTGCGTGCCTGGGGGACAGTCTGCCGGGCGTCAAGCTGACTCTGAGCTGTGGGCTCACTGTGGCGCGTGTCCTTGTGGGGTTAACACGTCCCGGCCGCGAAAGGTACGTTCTCGACGGGATCGTGCTCAGCCGCCTTCGCCTGCCCGTTCGTTCCAGGTCGATGCCCGCGCCATGTCCGCAGCCCGCAGCAGGCTCGCTCTTCTCTTCTGCGTCTGTGGTGCAGCCGCCCTGGGAGCCCAGGCTGGACCCCACAAGACTGGACCCCACGAGGCCGGACGCCACGAGGCCGGGTATTACGTGGCCGCCGTGTATGAGCACACACCCGTCCTGAGCCCGGACCCACTGGCGCCCACCAGCCGCGAGCAGGCGTTGGCGCTCATGCACCAGAACCTCGACGTCTATGAGCGACAAGTGGCAACCGCGGCTGAAAAGGCAAGTGAGGCTCCTGGTCGGGCCACACTGACCTCACGGGCACAGCCATGGCTCTTCCCCTGACCAGGGCGGGTGGCCCGGGCTTCCTTCCTCCCCCGAAAGCCTGTCACGCAAAGCAGCTGAGCTGGCCAGCTGGCTGGGGTCTCCCTGCTCAGGGTGGCCCTAGCCCCTATCTGGGCCCTGCGACCGGACACTATTTCAGCAGGGTCCCGGGGACGCTTTCGCGGTACGTGGTCTGAGAAGCCTGGGTCCGTGCAAAGGTTCTCACTTGCGGCCGTGCACGGGAGCCCCCGGCCAGCTGTGACGTTGGGCGCCTGGGCCTTAAGCGTCTGCTGTCACTGGCCTGGAGGGGCGTGGACTGGGCACTGGGACTTTTGTAGGTCCCCCAGGGGTTCCAGTGTGCAAAAAACTTGGAAGCCTCTGGGCCTGGTGACACTCCCGAGCCATTTGGAGCTGAATGGAGACAGCCACAGCCACAGCACGGCTTTCAGCCTGCGCGCGTGGGGTCTCCCTTCTGGGCCCGCCACACCGGAGGCCTTGGCTAGACAGGACTGGCCCTGGGCTAGTGCAGGCCTTTGCGGAGACTTCCTGCTGGGCGGGGGTGCGGGAGTGCGCCCTCGGGAGCGGGAGGCGGGCCCAGACACGTCCGGAGAACACATCCCGCCGGGTGGCCCGAGCCGCGGGGAGCTGGGGCTGGGGTGCAGGGTGATGGTGGCTGCCCGAGGACACCCTGCCCCTCCACGGGGCCACCCGGGAGCTAGGCCTCCCTCCCTCCCGCAGGCCCGCCTGCACAGCCGGCGCGACGCAGGTGGCCAGGGTGGCCGGGACAGCCACAGCCACCGAGTACCGCTGCACTTTAGAATCTAATCTATGCGGTACACACAGGGTGCACGCGTGTGCGCGAGTGTCCGTGTGTGTCTGTGTGTGCACACACGTGTGGTGCCTCTGTGTGTGTGTGCACGTGTGTGTGTGCGTGCTGACCTTGCAGGGGGCTCAAAGACCTTGCCCAGCTTCCGATAGGCGGCCTCTTCGCCCCAGCCTGATGTTTCATCTCTCCTTGGACACCCTCAGTGGCTCAGAACTCGCTGCCTCAGGGCCCTCTCTCCCGCTGGGAAGGCCTCCCTGGGGGTAGGCATGCTCGGCCACCCTGCGAAGCCACGGAGTCCTGTCTGCGGAGCCACAGAGAACAGACCAGGCCTCACATGCATGCATCTGCTCCCCTCTTCCTCTTTTTTTTGAGTCAGGGTCTCACGCTGCTGCCCAGGCTGGAGGGCAGTGGCACGAGCACGGCTCACCGCAGCCTCGACCACCTAGGCTCAGGCGATCCTCCCGTCTCAGCCTCCCGAGCGGCTGGGATGACAGGCACACACCGCCATGCCCAGATAATTGTTCTTGATTTTTTGTCGCGATGAGGTCTCGCTGTGTTGCCCAAGGTGGTCTCAAATTCCTGGGCTCAAGCAATCCTCCCTCCTCGGTCTCCCAAAGTGCTGGGATGGCAGGTGTGAGCCCCGCAGCTGGCCCTTCTCCACGTTTGAGGGCTGCTACGAAGGCCCAGGCCTGTCCCTCTCCCGCTGTGCCCCAGTCCCTCCCCCCGTTCCTTAGGGGGCTGGGTTTCCAGGTCTTCTCCTGGGGGCCTGCAGGGCATCTCTGTGCCCTCCCTGTCCCTTGGAGCGGGCAGGTGGAGGGGCCCAGCCCCTGTGGTGCCGTCCCCAGGGCCTACGGGGTCGCGAGGCGCCTGCCGTCCACCTGGTGTCTGCACTGGCACGAGGACAGGCTCCACGCTGGACTCGCTGTCCCGCTGAGCTATTCACGAACCTTCCCTGACGCCCAGTGTCAGTTTCCCGACGTCATTTTCACCTCTGATCCGTGCCCCGCGTGGCCACGCTGAAGTTGGTGTCAAAGAATCCCTCCTGCCCCAGCTCTGGCACCTTGCCGACGTGGGTCCTCTCCCGATGGAGACGTCTGCTGCCTCGGCACCGCGTCCAGGCTGGGAGTTTCCCCAGCTGCCAGTTCTGCGTCCTGCCCACGGGACGTTCTGACATGTCCGGCAGTCGCCACCCGGAAACCTGGGGACCGGGGCTTAGGAGGCCGGCACAGCCTGGCTTTGGGGAGCCGCATCCAGGAGCCGGATGAGATGTCGGGGTGACCCTTCTCGTGCTAGGGACGTCTCGGGCCTGGCCCGGTCATGTGTGTCAGGTGCAGGAGCCAGGCAGATGGTGAGGCTGGTTGAGAGGAGACTGAGTGGGTGCTGTTTGTCTGCCAGTTCGGGGAGTGTGGGGTTGAATTTACTCGTAGGCACCCAGTGGCTGACGTCCTTCGGGGCTTGCGGGCGGACCCTCTGGGTGATCTTGCAAGCAACAGTCGCGTCCAGGTGACTAACAGTCCCTGAGCGGCAGACTTGGCAGACACACCCTCCGCCCCCAGCTGGTCACCTTCTTGTAGGTCACCACTGAGTACGCAGGGACCAGTCTCACGCTGTCCTGGGGGATGACGGCGGTGTCATTTTTCTGGGAAGCTGTCTGGTAACATGTGTGAAGACTTACGCATCTCCATACCCTTCAACTCAGTGATTTCACAGGTAGGACTTTGTTCCAAGGAGATAATCTGAGACCCAAAGATCTGTGTGCAGCACTCAGCAAGTGTCGAGCTCTCTGTGTGCAGAGGGTTGCTGATTTTATTACCAAAAGCTGCAAACAATTCACCTTCCAATTGTAGGGGATTAGCTATGGTGTTCTCTCAAATGTAAGGTGGCCATCTCAGATGGTATTTTTAGAAGTTTTAAAAAAAATTTTAGTGTATTTATTTTGAGTCAGAGTCTCACTCTGTCACCCACGCTTGAGTGCAGTGGCACGCTCACACCGCCGCCTTGACCTGCTGGGCTCAAGTGATCCTTCCGCCTCAGCCTTCTGAATACCTGGAACTACAGATGCGTGCCACCATGCCCGGCTAGTTTTTGTAATTTATTGTAGAGACGAGGTCTTGCCAAGTAGCCCAGGCTGGTCTCGAACCCCTGGACTCAAGCAATCCTCTTGCCTCAGCCTCCCAAGTGCTGGGAGGCTTGAGCCACTGCGCCCAGCCCCCCCCCCCCTTTTTTGAGTTGGAGTCTCACTCTGTTGTCCAGACTGGAGTGCAGTGGCACACTCCCGGCCACCGCAGCCTCGACCTCCGGTGATCCTCTGGCGATCCTTCTGCCCCAGCCTTCCAAGTAGCTGGAACGACAGGCGTGCGCTACTACGCCTGGCTAAGTTTTTGATTTACTGTAGAGACAAGGTCTCGCCAAGTTGCCCAGGCGGGTCTCAAACCCGCGGGCTCAGGCAGTCCACTCACCTCAGCCTCCCAAAGCGTGGGATTACGGGCTGAGCCACCGAGCCTGGCTTCAGCCCCCCTTTTTAAAGTAGGATTTACTGAGAAGACAGAAAAGCCCCCCCAGTGGGAGGGGACCCGAGTGGGCTGTCCAGAAGTCCCTGATGAGAAAAGTCACGGTTGTTGTCACCCCAACCAGACACACAGACACGGTGAGAGAAACAAAAGCAAAAGAAGCACATACCAACAGGAAGTGTCTGTGTTAGAGCACTAGGAATGGCGTCTCTGTTCTCCAGACTTGCTTCAGTTAAGCTTCGGAAGCTCTTACAACCCGGAGAAACGTAGGAGTTTGCAACGCTTTCCAGAGACAGCGCCCCAGCCACTCGCCTTTCGGGGTCAGTCGGGCCTTCTCTGCCTCCTCCTGCCTTCACACTCGGCCACGGAGGCGGAGGACAGAGGCCAGAGGGCGGCGAGGCCGAGCTGAGGGCCGCGGTCCGCGTCTCCTGGTGGCTGCGGGCATCCGGCGAGCCCAGGCGTCCCCGGTGTGGACAGGCCTTGAGGGTGTCAGAGGCTGCCGCAGCCGCCTCGTTCTCAGGGGGAGCTGAGATCCCATGAATCCTCGTTCCAGGCCGGATCAGCACACGACGCTCACCCCAGCCCGGGGCCCAGCCTCGGCCACATGAGGCCCACCAGGGGATCCACCCGCAGGCCGGCCAGGTGACTGCCTGGGGGACACATCGGCATTACCAGAAGTGCCCACCTGACAGGTGCCTGGTGGAGGCCGGGAGCCACTGGGTGGCGATGACACCTCTGTCCATGGCCCGCCGCTATGTCCCACCTCCTGTGGCTCCCCGAGGCCGGCCCCTCCCCTGGTGGCTGTGGCACCTGCGCCCTTCGGCCAAGCTCACTCCCTCCTGCCCTAGGGTGGCCCCGGGCACAGTGGATGGCTGTGCCCAGAGGATTCTGCTCCCCCGGGATGAGGCCAGGCGGGGTGGCATCCCCAGGCCAGGCCTCTGGGCGCATCGCGCCCCCAGGAGTGTCTCTGTGGCTCAGGGCACAGAGTGTCATGGATGCAGCAGGTGCTCCTGTCACGTGGTGACGGCCGTTCCCGGGTGTGCTGCCTTTCAGGGTGTCCAGATCATCGTGTTTCCTGAGGACGGCATTCACGGCTTCAACTTCTCGCGAGCGTCCGTCTACCCGTTCTTGGACTTCCTGCCAGGCCTGCTGCCAGGGAGGTGGAACCCGTGTCTGGAGCCGGGCCGGTTCAACGACACGGAGGTGTGTGAGCCCAGCCCCTGCCCAGGGCTGAGGGTGCAGGGTGAGCCAGCCAGGGCCAGAGGCCCCGGCGAGTGGGCTGAGCGAGGCGGGGGCCCTGGGAGCTGAGGACTGCACGGACTCCCGGCCCACAGCCGCGGCTGGAAGCAGAGGGGCGTCTGCCCAGAGCACCCCAGGCTGGCTCCTTCCAGTATTGGGGACACAGCAAACACACGCAGGTGTGCCTGGCCCAGCCCAGGCGAGCCAGCCGGGGGCAAGGCTGCCTCGCCCAGCCCTGCTGTCCTGCCTCCTCCCTGGGGAAGCTACGTCTCCAGGCCATGTGTGCCTGCCGCATTCCCTCCAGCGGGCCGCTGTCGCCAGCCTCTTCCTCAGCAGCCCGGTGGTGCTCCTTTTTTCTTCGAGTCGGAGTCTCACTCCGTCACCCAGGCCGGAGTGCAGTGGCCACCCCGGCCAGCGCAGCCTCGACCCGCTGGGCCCTGGCGATCCTTCCGCCTCAGCCTTCCCGGTAGCCGGAACCACAGGCGTGCGCTGCCACGCCCGGCTAGTTTTCGATGTATTGCAGAGACGAGGTCTCGCCAAGTCGCCCGGGCGGGTCTCAAGCCACGGGCGCAGGCAGCCCACTCACCTCGGCCTCCCACAGCACTGGGATGACGGGCTGAGCCGCCGCGCCCGGCCCGTCGTGCTGCTCCTTTCTGAACTCCAGCTGTTGCAGCCAGCGCTTCGGGGACGGTCCTTGGACGGTCCACACACGTTTCCAAGTTTCTCTGTAAGATGCATGTTTTCCACTGACTTGAGTTCTGACTTCAGGGGAGACGCTTTTCACAAGTGGAACGCCGCAAGGGAGATGCCCGTCCTAAACTGGACTAAAGCGCCAGATTCCCCTTCAAAAGCCTGGGCTTCACGTCCCATCCTCTGAAGCAGGGTGAGGGCCCAGGTCCCCACTCTTGGTCAGTGCCAGCTAGAACCACCTCTCGGATCTCATCCCCCTCAGGAAGGACGCCTTGTTTTATGTGCGTTTCCCACGACTCACGAGACTGGGCGTCTTTTCCGATGTTTGCTGGCCATTTGTGAGTTCCCTTTTTATTGTCTTTGTACGTTTCCAGGAGCGGTGATTTTTTCTTGTTGATTTCTGGCACCTGTTTGTTTACTAGGGACACAATACGAGTACTTCTCTATTTAAAAAAATAGGAGAGCCAGGTGCAGTGGCTCACACCTTGTCCAGCTGCTCAGGAGGCTGAGATGAGAGGATCGCTTGAACCCAAGAGTTTGAGTCCCATCTGGGCAACATGGGGAAAAACCGCCTCTCAAAAAAAAATAAAAAAGGGCAGGCTAGGCTCAGTGGTTCAGTCTGTCATCCCAGCACTTTGGGAGGCTGAGGCGAGTGGATTGACTGAGCCCGCAGGTTCGATACCAGCAGGACACCCTGGCGGGGCCTCCTCTCTGCAACAAATCAAAACTTAGCCGGGTGTGGTAGGTGTGCCTGTAGTTCCGGCTACTTGGAAGGCTGAGGCGGAGGGATCGCCGGAGCGCAGCGGGTCGAGGCTGGGGTGGCCGTGAGCGCCACTGCCCTCCAGCCTGGGCAACGGAGCAAGACTCTGACCAAAAAACAGCAGAAGGCAGGGCGTAAAGCCCTGTGTACTCACCCCTTGTCCTCGCAGGTCCTCCAGCGCCTGAGCTGCATGGCCATCAAGGGGGGGATGTTCCTGGTGGCCAATCTCGGGACGAAGCAGCCCTGTGACAGCGGCGACCCGCGCTGCCCGGGGGACGGGCGGTACCAGTTCAACACCGACGTCGTGTTCAGTGGCGACGGCGCCCTGGTCGCTCGCTACCGCAAGCGCCACCTGTACTTCGAGGCCGCCTTCGACACCCCTCCGTGGGCCGACCGTGTCACCTTCGAGACGCCCTTTGCCGGCAGGTTTGGCGTCTTCACGTGCTTTGACATCCTGTTCTTTGACCCGGCCGTGAGCCTGCTGCAGGACCCCGAGGTGAGGCACGTGGCATACCCCACGGCCTGGATGAACCAGCTCCCGCTCCTGGCAGCCGTGCAGGTGCAGAAGGCCTTCGCTGTGGCCCTGGGCGTCAACGTCCTGGCGGCCAACATCCGCCACCCGGCCCTGGGGATGACGGGCAGCGGCATCCACACGCCCCTGGAGTCCACGTGGGTCCATGAC